CGTTAATTTATTTCTAATTGGCAAGAACTTGTTGATCTTGGGCTCGCAGATAGATCTGGTCAGGAGGTTAATGCTTATGTTAATGTGACAAGGTGATCTCTCCTCTCTCGGCCATGTGCTAACTGCAACAATTGAGTAATAACAGAAGCGCTAATGGCCCTTTTACAAGCTCATCATGGCAGGTGCCTGTGAGGGAGCAGCGATGCCTCCGACACGTCGTTCACGCTCCGATTTACTGTCTACGAGACGAGCACTTTGACCTCAGCACCACGCCGGGCTGAGCGTCCTCGCCGTGGATGGCGTTAGAAGGCACCACCGGCGTGCTGCATGCTGGGACGATACCTGCGTCGCACATAAAACATCCGGCGTTTCGTCAGACGGCTACAGTTTCACGTGTGCATTACTATGCATGGAGAATTGGATTTGTTTTCCCTTGTATACTCATCAGTTTAAGAAAGCAGCCATCCGTTGCTTTTTTAATCTCCATAATGAAAGTGTTTTAATGCCTCCAATTTATTGCCTGGGCAGCCAACAGAATAATTAGCTTTGTTCAGGTTTTTAAAAAGATGAAAATACAAGTAGAACAACATTTGAGTGTGGAAATCACAGATTATAATCAAATGCATTAGTTATTGTACCTGCAGGTATATTGGACAAGAATAATGGATTTCTATTGTGGGTATTAAGATTAATCTTTTTTTAATTTGCTTTTTTTTTCTCGTCACTTTTAGGTTTCTATAAGTTGTCCGTTTTGATGCCACCAAATGTTTTTATACCGTCAGTGTTTTTAACTCTCACACCCACAAAAAAAGACTTTTTTTCCCCACTGCAAGTCTAAATAAAGAGGCTTCCAAGTATTTATTGATTCTCTGTGACCCGGAGTCGATTCCACAAACTAAATCAGATAATTGAAGTCGGTGTCGAGCTAATTGGATTATTGCTTTACCCCTGAAGAGATGGCTTTCCGCCGCAGCACAGGGATTGCTGCATTAGAGGCGTCCATCAGACATCTGTCATTTAACAGCACAGGACTGTGTCTCGCAGCAAGGAGGGAGAATTGATTATAAATATAAAGCGTAGTAATTTCTTTGATTAGATGATTGGTGCGACAGTCTTAACATCATGAGATTGCCGTCATTTCGTAGCTCACACAGAGCTGATTTAATACCCGACGTCTCCTCGTGCGTCGGATGTCGGGATGGATGGCAGTTGAAAAGTCTAAAATATGTTTAAGAAAAAAACTTCTTTTTTAACTTCTTTTAATGATGAATTACGTCGACACCTTAGGCAACAAACGCATCACGCAAATGGCACATCAGCAGAACTATTTCTGGGATCAAAGCTACGCAGAAGAAAGCATCCCTCTTGTGTCTATTTGCCTCCAGTCCTCCAAACATGGTTTATGCAAATGAGATGACTATTTGCATAGACATAATTAGGTAATTACAAATCATTTGGCTATGAGCTCAAGCATGTGCAGGGACCAGAGACGTTACACGAATCGCATTGTACAGTAGCGAGTTAATGAATTGCCTCTGAACAGCGGAGGCATTACAGCATGTGTTGGAACATATGTTGTGTCAGACCTCTTCCTCGGAAACGACAGGTGACATTTTCATGAATCTTTAGTTAAGCGCAGAGAACGGATGTGAGTAGAAGGCTCTGGTTTGCAATGTTTAAGGACAGTTTGAAGTAAAATATCACACATATAGAGAGAGATATTTAAATAATAATAAATTTTGGTATTAAGGATTTTAAAAAAGGGATAAGAGATTTTTTTTTTAAAGCTGCTGGGAAAAGAAATAAAAAGTGAGAGGTTTAGTTTGTGCTTTGCTGCAGATCATTTACGAAGGTTTTTCTTCTATTGTCTGGACTCCAAACTGTCAATTCATCAAGATTCTAAAATTTCTGTTGTGAAATTAGTGAAGATATCCAAGATAATTAATTAAATGTTTGCTAAATTAACACGTCTAATCATATAAAGTCCTCTTTTAAATATGAGATATGTCACTAATCACTCAAAGTGAAGGCGTTCTGTCACTCAGACAGGTCACTTAAATAGTAATGACTTCATTTAGACGTACCGCCACAACAAGCCACGGCGTGTTAGCTGAAAACATAAAGTTGGACAATACACCAAGCTTCAAAGAGCCACTAATACACAAAAGAACAGCAAATGCATGAAACTGTCATCATAACTGTGTTCACACAAGTTTACGACCCGACGAGCATCATGTGACCACAAAGAAAACAGAACTCACCTGGACGAGTCTCTTTATTCCTCCAGGACCACGATGAATCTGCATCACGGTCGCAGTTCACATTTGCGCTGCGTTGAAAGAGATTTTGTAAATGTTAAGAGCAAAGTCAGGGAGCCATCGCGATTACTGTGAAAACTTTACTTCAGACGTGAAGCCAACACGTTCAGGTGCCGTCAGATGACTTGAAAGAAGTTCATGTTTCAAGATTCAAGACTTTTATTTGAGACAAACAAAATTATACACAGTTTAACCCTCAGTTAAACGTATTTATGCACCTGTTCCACACCAAAACAACAATATATGAAATAATATTAATTAGAAGAAGAAGAATAAAGAATATAAACACACAAGAGATGGATGGATGGCTAGATGGATAGATAGAGGTCTAATATTCATCCAGAACCAATAATGCTTTATTTAAAATAAACGTTTCTAAATATGTTCGATGTGTAACCTTGTCACGCTAACATGTAAAACATCAAATTGTCAATTCACTACAAGTCATCGTCAAATATTCAGATCTACTAATAGATGGTCTTCATACGGTAACAACACAAGACTCACATGAGGCAGTGCAGCACTTTTCTGGGTCTTATCAAACGCGACCACCTTAAATCCAGATTATTTCAGGACGCTTGCATCAAGTGGGCTGTGACCGGAGCTGACCAAAGTTGGTTTAACCAGTAATGCTGCAGCAGATGAGCTGATCTGTCGCCCGCCGATGTCTAAACGGCAAATTCTAGCCGTGAGATTACCTCGAATGAAGCAACGTTTAGTGTTCGACGAGCTGAACACACAGAAGCCATGAGCTGCAAACTTCTGAGATTTAGTAGCCAGCGATGACAAAAGGAGCCCACTGCTGAGACTTTAATCTTGAAAAAACACAGCGTTAGTGCCTGATTATTCAATAAGGCAGACAGGAACGGACTGTCTGTGCTCTAAAAAGTAATTCCAGAGGTCTGTTCTCATCACTTCATTGAATTCTTGCAAAAATATTTGCAAGAAATTTTTAATTCAACAAAACTTTTCAGTTTCTGGCGTTATTTTCTAAGAATTGGGTTGATGTAATAATGTTGGTAATCATATTATTACTGAGTGTGATTTAAGCTCAAATCGGTTTTCAAGATTTAGTTCTTCAGACAAAACTTCTAAAAAGCTGCTGCATGAATAAAAATACAAAAAAAAAAAACACTGAGCCAGAAATATATGTCAACCTGAAAACTGTGATTAAGTACAAAACCCTTAAAAATAAATTTTAAATTACTGGAAATGCTCGTTGGAACTGCTTGATTTTTTAATGCATAATCAACCTAAAGCTAAAAGCGAATGTCCCCCCACACCGTGTGATTAGTAAGCTGTCATGACTCAAAAAGAAAGATGCAAACTGTGCTGTTGTCAGTTGGTTTTTGTTTTTTGATAGACAGGTTTTCCCACTGGGGATTAACACCTCCACCTGTAGGGATGTCAGCAGATCACAGGATGCACAGTTTGGTCTGAGTCAGAACCAACAAGGACCTGCAGTAATTTTCTAGCTGGAAACCTTTGCTCACACTTTTACCCCATTACTTGTCTGTCTATACTATCTACTCTTGATTTAGAAAAGAAAAAGGCATTTCATTTTTGCAGCAATTACAACTTATGTCATCTGAAAGCACCCAACAAATATAAATGATTCCCGTTGAGCAGCTTTTTGGCAGCAGTGGGAAGTAAAAAACTCCCCTTCAACAGGAAGACGGCTACAGTAGAACCAGACTCAGGGAGGAAGGACGTCAACCTCAACTGGTTGGAGCAAATGGTGAAGGGAAACCGCACAAGAGAGTAATAAGCACTGGGGATGACGGTGAGGTGATTAGAGCTCTACAACCACAGATACCTGCAGAGAGAACAAAACACAAAAAAATAAAATATTCTCTCTCTTGTTATTCTGGCGTTTAGCAAATAGAAATAATTCTGGTAATCCTAACTGACCTGAAACAGGAAGAGTTTAGTCTGATTTAATGTCAGATAATGAGAAAAAAAAAAGGTTTTATGTCTCTTTATACAGTGGATGTGAACTTCAACTGAACATGTATGAAGTGCGAACGACAGGAGAGCAGAGGAGAGGAGCTCAGTGCATCATGGGAAGTCTGTCAGCGCCTGCAGCAGCGTAACCAGAGGATGTTCAGATTCATCAAAAAATAAAAGATTTAAGCCTAATTGTAGAAGTAGGGAGGGTATCTTCCAGCTGAACACTCATTAAAGTTCCCAAAACGTTTAATGTACTTTTAAAGCCTGCGACAAATCACTGGAGTTTTATGAAGTGACAAACCTGAAAAAAATTACAGGTCGACACTTGCTGGAACCTCGTTGTAAATTTCTTTCAAAGTTGTTTGTCTCTGCCCAAAAGCGACGAAGGGATTTATCGCTCGGAGAATCTGAGGCAATCAAACAAAGCGGCGGTGCCAGGGCGGCGCTGAAGGTGCCAAGCAGCCGTTTGAATGTGCTGAGTTTAACCAAAAGCCGGCTCCGCGGTGGCTTTGTGCATGGATGGGCCTCAATCACCGAGCTGTGCCGCTAACTTGCAGAGTCAGATCGACATGCGTGTTGCTCCGGCTCACCCCTCGGTGCGGTGGCAGGTGCTGATTTTCCATTTTGCACATGTGAAGAATGAATGCTTCACACAGAATCCAGACACACGACTGGTTTCCTTTCTGGATAAAAGTCGTCATTTATTGCTTTTTTGTTTGTTTGTTTTTCCAGAGCAAGAAGACTCCTTTGAGTTCATCATCGTGTCGCTGACGGGTCAGACGTGGAACTTCGAGGCGTCTACGTACGAGGAGAGGGAGCTGTGGGTCCAGGCCATCGAGAGCCAGATCTTCGCCAGCCTGCAGTCCTGTGAGAGCATCAAGAACAAGGTAGAGAACATCCGAGGAGCCGGACAGCACGGGCGATTATCGTCTAATCAGAGCAATCCTGCTGCTTCATTTACATTCCTCTTTTTCCTCTTCTTTCCAACCTTTATTCTGCACTCCCCCTCCTCTCCTCCTCCTCCTCCTCTCCTCCTCCCCTCCTCCTCACCCACTTCAAGCTGTCACATGTGGGAGGTTGTCAGACAGGTGCACCGCAGTGTGGGGGATCTCTTATTAGAACTGACAGACATCAGAGATAGAACACGGCTTGTGTCAGCATACTGGGGAGACACAGCCTCATTTTCATATTCATATTTTCTCTGCCTCAGTCTTTTCCTAACACTTTGGGGGGAAAAAAAAAAATAAAAAAAGATTCTCCTTCTCCTCCTCGCCGGTTGTCTATGATCTTGAGTCCGGCTGTAATTGTTTGCCTTCTCTTACTCCCCACTGAAATAATTAGTTCCTGTTGACTTATTTTCTCCTTCATTTCTCACAGTCTCGGTTAGGCAGCCAAAGTGATGCGATGGCCATCCAGTCCATACGAAACGTGAGGGGGAACAGCTTCTGTGTGGACTGCGATGCACCCAGTGAGTATAAAACTCAAACTTTTTCCCAACATATGATCAAATATGACGACTGTTGACTTTGCCAGGGCAGCAAAACTGAACCTCTTTGCTCAGTTTCACCAATGAATCCTTCCTCGACGGCTGATTTGCAGTTGTGACATCGAGTTTCGAAGCTTAATTTCTTTTTTAAAAATCCACAAATAGGTCTAGCGTTGGGATGTCTACATTAAATGGATTGTCCTGTGACGCCACCCAGCTCACTGAAAGTAGCCCGGCCCTCAATTTAGGGTAACTTTTTAAGCCTGGATCCAATCCACACTTCATACAGTTCTAATGAACTATACATGTACCTACAGAGACCAAAACCATTGCTTGTACCAGGCTGTAAACACACTTAAATGTGCTGTAAAGTTGGACATTTAACATGGAGTCTGTGGGCATTGGTTCAGTTTTGGAGTCAGCCTCAAGTGGCCGTTCATGGAACTGCAGTTTGTGGCATTTCATGTTAGTTTCACTTTCGTTTTTAGCCTCGGAGGTTGTCGCAAGTTTACATTAAGCTGCAAAATATTCCAAAAACTTTATAGAAAATCCAGACTTTGGCAGCTAAGTTATGCTAAAGTTGCATTAGCAAAGAACAACCACTAATCCTGCATCTAATGAAGTGAAATACTGATCAGCAAAGAAATCCGTCCGCAAACATATGCCTGTTAAACTGAACTGCAGGGGGCTACGTTCAGTGATTTTTACAAGTTTAAAGTACATATTAGGATGACAGGTTGTTTTGTGTATCTTGTTTTATTAGTGCTTTATCAAGATCAGATTATTTTAAATCCCCACCAACACATTTAATAAAGGAAGTGAACCCCACATAATTAATCTTTTCCTTGAAATCAATCTAAGCTTTTAATGCTTTCTTATAGAATATGTATAAGCTGGTCGTCATGATTAATGTTCATTTTTGTTCTTGTGTGTTCTGCTACAACAAAAGCTGCTTCATTTTTTTTTTTAAATCCCATGTAGTACAACAATTACATTTCATTTTGCTAACTTGTGCATCTTCACCAACAAAAGAGGGGATCTGGTATTTGTTCGGTAGCTCATTTTGGACATAGCAGCAACATCAGGAATGCCAGACCTGCAGCCATGATATAAAAACTTACTGTTGGAATATTTAATTAATGCCTCAGAGAAAATACTCAGATGTAAGCGGCCATTTCCATCTGTTTTTTTTTTTGTTTTTTTTTCTCAAACCGGTGGTGCTAAAGCTGCATCTTTAGGCATTTCTGTTTTGGCTCAGTTCTGGTGGATAGTGCTGGTTCCTGTCTCACGGTTTGAATGCAGTGCACCTCTAGAAAGGAGCTCGTTACACACATCTTATCAGACAATCAAACTTGCAAATTATGGTCACTATCCTGTTTACGTTTCGCCTTGTATATGCATATGTGTTTTTACACTATTTGACCCTTTGATTTATTTATTTAGCTCATGTCTGTGTGTGTGTTTTTATTGTTTATTCAGGTTCTCAGTATATTTCACTGCACGTTATCCTGTGTTAGTGACAAATAAAGGTCTTGAATCTTGAATCACATCCTGTTTTCTTATCTTGTTGCGTCCCTGTTTCTAACCTACCTTCTGTCATGCAGACCCGGACTGGGCCAGTCTGAACCTGGGCGCCTTGATGTGCATCGAGTGCTCCGGCATCCACCGGAACCTGGGCACCCACCTGTCCCGCGTGCGTTCCCTGGACCTGGACGACTGGCCGGTGGAGCTCAGCATGGTGATGACTGCCATCGGCAACGCCATGGCCAACAGCGTGTGGGAGGGCGCGTTGGAAGGATACACCAAGCCGGGGAGCGACAGCACCAGGTTAGCATCCTTCTGCAAATAAAGGTGCTGCTTAATGAAGCGTGCAGAGATTATAGAATGAGGAGGCAGCACCGTCTTCTCTCCATTAGCCGCCATTTATTAGCCACCCACATTTCAGCACAGGCAGTTCACAATACAAAATGCTCCATAAGAAGCACCGGGGGTCCATAAATGTCAGCCCACTGAGCCAAAAACGCCGTGTTTTATGTCGGAGCATCAGTCCGTCCTCTACACACTGATCACAACACCTCTGTTGTATCAGTCAGAGTCACAGGCGCTGCTTCTTTTCATGTCTTTTCATGATATCTAATATTTCAGACTATCTGCTGTCTCGTGATTCGACTTGTAAACGATGAGTGTGACGTCCAGTCACCTGATAAATGTTCGGACTTCAAATCCATCAGGTTCGTCATGTAAATCCCTAATCAGGGGAAAGATTTTGTTATCTGAACCACCCCCTGATCTTTTAGGATTTAGTTTAACTTTCTCAGCGTGCATAACTTCCTTACATCTTTTCCGTAAATGATCCTTTCCCACTCGCTCACCTCACACACCCCCGTAAGTATCTCTTCCCTCTCCTCTGAGGTACCCAGATCTGGTAGGAGGATTGTTTATCTCTTGGTGACAGGTGAGACCTAGCGTCCCAGTCTGACTAATGACCTGCTGTGTGGCTGTGCAGGTAATTAAGCACACCATTACGGCTAAACCGCACCCCAAGAGCCGAACCCTCGGGGCCCGAGCCGCCCTGTCACATATCCATCACACGGGGCCGGGTCATCGCTCTGTCTGTCACGCCAGAGACTGTCTGTAGGCTCTCCCTGGTGGCACTGGACTGTTTCAACATCACAGCTTTGGAACTTTAAGAGAAGTGACAGAACAACAGGGAAACGTAGCCGGCTTCTGCAACCGACTGTAAAGCGTTTATGGCTTAAAACATCTTTTAAAAATCAATCCTGTAGCTTTATAAGGACAGTGTTTTGTTGCTGTTGAGATGCTTTTGATGAATTTCGGTCAGTTTGTGTGTGTAAGAGTTCAACGTTAAAGTCTTTAAGAACAACAAGGGGAGAAGTTACAAGCATGCCTTTAGAAGTTGTCTACAGGGCAGTGCAAAGGCTCCTGCAAGAGGCAAACACACGAAAAACACAAAAAGGCAGAAATAAAACAAACCATAGACACATGAGAGGGAAGTGATTCCTGCTTCCACTGTCTTATTTGGTAATTGATGAGTTCAAGATTTAAGTTGTACTGATTTTGCTTTGCTGCAGGTTGAACTCTTATTTGTTTTGTATATTTAAGGTGAGCCTGAAATCTTATGTCAGTTAATTTGATATAACATCTAAGACAGGGGTGCCCAATCCTGGTCCTGGAGACCCCTATCCTGCATGTTTTAGATGTTTCCCTCTTCCAACACACCTGATTCAAATGATCATCATGAAGCTCTGCAGAAGCCTGATAACCATCCTGATCATGTGAATCAGGTGTGTTGGAAGAAGGAAACATCTAAAACATGCAGGACTGTGACCCTCGAGGACCAGGATTGGGGACCCCTGATCTAAGATATCATGCATGTATTACTGATAAACCTCAGCATGCTCACACTAGTAAGTAGAAATCAAAAAAGCTAAAGCCTGTTAAACAGAAATGCAAAACAAACTCTGGTTCTATCTTGTAAATAATGAGAGGATCTGGTGCTTTATCTGATTTATACGGTTAAATCGGGACATATATTTGGCTTTTAAACAGAGCAGAAATAGAGTCGTAGGAATACGTGACTTCTTGCTTTGGGACTTTTATTTTGGCGTGTCGGTTAATTGGTTGAAAACTGTCATCATTATAAAATGGAAACAGTGTCAGGCCTAATTACAGTTTGCACATGATCCTGTGGCTTGATTGATTTGGGGTTTTGTACGGCAAATAAATCTTGTTTTTTTTCACTGACAATACTTGTCAAATTCTTAATTCATAGAGAAAAAAAAACATAAATATGCAGTTATGCCTGTGAAATAGAAATTTTAAGAAAATCCAAATCCGTTCCATGAATGAGACATTTCAGAGTTCTTCCAGGTAGATCCTCCATCACGTCAGCATTAAGCAGCCTGGTGTATTAACCCTGATGCTGCTTCATATTTTAGTGACTTTCACTTATAACTGAGGAACCAGTTCAGCCTCTTTCAGGATCTGTGATTACCAACACCACACTGATGGTTTCTATTCTAACATTTCATGGTTCTGCTTGCTACAGACGAGCCACATAACTGTCAAAGTTCAAGCAGCAGAAGTACGTTTACAATCCACTTTCTTCACCAAATCCCTGCTCATGGCACACGGTGAGGAACCGGTTTAAAACTAAAGAACAGTCCTCCTGAACCCACCTCTCCGCTCTCCGGCCAGTTCAGCACTGAATGATGGCCTACAGTTGTTTATTGAATGGTATCTGTGCTAAAGTGCTCCGCTGCGGACTTGATGAAAGATTATTGATGTTGATTCCTCTCCCTACCGCTGTCAGTCCCACGTCGCCTGGAGCAGGAAGGTTCTTCATTGTCTGAGAAATCCGATCTTATCCCCGCGGCAGCGTCTCCATTAGTTTTGACTGTCAAACAATAAATCTCATTTGCAGGATAACTAATCTTTAGACAAAAAACAGCAGTTGTAAATATCACACACGGCCACTGGTTACTGAGATTGTGAGGATTTGGTTGCTGAGAATGTAGCGTCGTGGGGTAAACATTGCTATCAAATTATTTTTGCTTCATCATGAATGATGGATTCTAAGCAGTTTAATGGGATGAAGTTTTTTTTTTCTTTCTTCTTCTTTCTGCGCCTGCTTCTCTTAACTTGAGCGAAGAACATATGAGAGGATTTTAATTGTGTCACATTGGTGACATGTAGCAGCTTTGTGATGGCACCCAGGCAGGCAGTGTATGGCTGCTGACTCCCACTAAACATTAGTGACACCTAATCTAAACGATTCAGTAACTACCTGAATATCAGCTCAGCGTCTGATTGAATGTCTCCTGCAAGACTAGTTTTACCTCTTGCATTTTTGAGATTTAACTTAAAGGCATTCATCCACAAGATTGGTTTAGCTTATGATATTCCACATCGAAAGAACACAATATATAGATTTGTCGTACGCGGATCCGCGCCGCGGTGGAATTACTGGTGTACGTCAGAATGATTACAGGCGTCGTAATGGGAAGCTTGTTCGTATGCACGCATGTGTAGATGTATGAATGCTCACCTGTTTTTACTCCTTTTAGAAGAACGCGTGCTACCACTTTCTAATAACCTGTTTATCAAGTTGAGTTGTAAATAACGCCTTTATAACGTTAATAAACTTACTTTGAAATCAGCTGTGAGCCAATATTGGGAGCAGTTTGGGGGTTTTGAAGTTTCCTTTGGCTCATGTGGATCCTTATTTAGTGATCGTGTCATTAAAAAGCTTGTTAGTCAATTAATAAATATACTAGTTGAACAGGTTAGCACTTGTTTTTAGACTTTATTAACATGGTTACCCCTCAATAAAGTGTTTTTTGTTAATGAATAAATTGTCAAATACGCTCAAAAACTGTTTTTGTTTGGTAATAATGTAGTTGTGACGTTAATAATTCTCTAATAAATGTCCCTAATAAGCCGCCGAGTCTGGACTTCTAGAGTGCAGCGTGAAGTCATAAATAATGGGTTATTAAATAGCAGCTTTGCAGTGTTTTATTTCACATCACGGACATCATGAAGTGGTTCAACCAACCAAGAGCGTCTTTTTTTTTTTTTTTTACAAGCTGGCAACTCAAATGTTGCTCCTAATGACTTCAAACTGATTTATAAGGAATTAATGACTTAATACCTAATAAAGCCACAAGTTACTATTTATAACCCATTTGTAAAGAGATATCTGAATGTAAAGTGGTGCCAGAGCAGTAAAACCAGAACCCGGCCGGGCTCCGGTTAAATCCGGGGTGATGGATTAGTCGGAGCTCTGCGTTGAGGCTGATCTCTGCAGTCAGCATATTGCAGGGGGGGGAGTTGTTCTTTTAATTAGCACCTGGGAGTCGTCGTGTTTTGCACGTCGCCTCTAATTGCTTGGCGTGTTTGTGATAGAAAACACTACAGATTATTCTGACGGATACTGTGGGAGAGGTCCGGCAGCTAACTTCACCCTTATCTTTTGCTGGCACACACACACATAAAAAACAAAAGAAGCACACACTGTAACACACACCAGTTCTCATTTGGAGGAGATGTCCCGGAGCGTGGACGGATGTGGACGGCTATCCCTCACTGACGTGGGCCTCTCACTGTCACCCTCTGTAGGCTCCGTGCCGCCCTCGGCCACAGGCAGGTAATAGCTCTGATGAGAGCCCTCCACTTTGTTTCAGAAATAATTTGCCACTCCTGCCGCCTGCAGGGGCTGCGTGGTAATAAAAATGAATCACACCGCTAACCTCTCCAAACCTGGCCCCGCTGCCTGTTTTAACCCCTTCTGCTCCGGCTGGTGGCATCTGTCCTCCTCCTCCTCCTCCTCCTCCTCCCAAGCTGTTTGTTTGCAAAAATCAGTGCTGTGGCCTCTTTCAGGATTGTCTGCTGTCCTTCAAATTAGTGCCCAAAACACAAGAGCAGAGCATCCAGGCTACTCACAGGTTAGGAGTGCTGCAGCAGCAACTCTCTGAAGAGATTTTTAGAATAGCCGGCCTTGCCAGGAGCCCTGGTGGAGGAAGAGTAATTAATTAAGACAAATGAATGACTGGGTCTTCCCATGTCCTCCCTCTCTCTCGTTCTCTCGCTCTCTAAATGAAACCCACAGGTCAGTAATTAGCCCTGTGTGGGAGATGTGGTACCACAGCCGCTAATTGCCCACATGCCACCGGGTTTCGGGGCCAGGTGGACATGGAGGGAGGACTGCTTCATTACGGCGCCGTCTACTTAACCGTGCAATTTAGTTTAAGTATTGCTGGTGCTACCAAATCATAATAACATTCGAGTCTGATTACCTGAAAGACAAAAAAAAAAGAAAAGGAGCCAACTCAGTCGTGCATTTGAATTTTTAAAAACGTGAAGCAGGCTGCCGGGCCATGTGCTCGTCGTCCCCTCGGCTTTGTATGCGAGGTGAGGGTTCAGCAGGGGTTAACAGCGTGAGCATTTAAGGGTGTTAGTCGTACTGGCACAAAAACACAGCCACTCCATCACGAGGAGTCTGACAACCTCATTAATGTCACAATATATTCAACTCATCCCTCTGCCTGCCTACAGCACCCAGATGCTCGCCAATTGGCCTTTTTTCTGTGGAGCTCGGCACGACAACCTTTTGAATCATCTGCTCGGTCTTACGAGAAAAGCGGCGTCTATTCCGCTTGTAAAAATATTTGTCTTAACTCTTTTTGGATGCTGTTGCTCTCGAGATGTCTCCACTGTAAGCCGCTGGACCGTAGGAGGCCTTATTTAGCGCTCTCGCTGCGCCGTTTACTGTGTTTCTCCTTCATTTCTCGCCCTTAGCAACCTTTGATGCTTTGGGGCCCAGCTTTCTTTCCCCGTTGTGTGCGCCTTTTTTTTCATCTCTGTCGTTTTCCCTCTCGGCCCCCTCTCTGTCTTTCTGCCGCCGTCCCTCTTCTCCTCGCTCTCTGGTCTTCCCTCCCCTCGGTTTGTGGAAGTGAAGCCGCTGGCTGCATGGGAATTGGTCCCATACAAGTCGCCTACCCCCACTGTGAAGTCTGTTCAGGCTGGTCAAGCCCAAAGAACCCCCCCAACACCACCACCACCACCGCCACCACCCCCACCGCTTCTCCCCTTCAGTGCGTCTATTTGATGTGAATTTGGACGCTCATGGAAAAGTGGGAGGAGCCGCGGGAGCATTGACAGTTTAGGAGGACTCGAAAGATGCGCGAGTGGTGGGACGGACGTCCTCCTCTCCCTACGGACCGGTGCACCTTTATTGCAGGCGGTCATTCTGTGGCTCCTCCGCCGCTGGCTCCGCCCCCGCCGTCTCAGTTTCCCTTCCCTTCCTATAAATTCCTGTTCGCCTTTGTCTTTCAGGCTTGACTAATTATCCTTGTTTGTCCCTCTTTATTTGAATTCAGTCATGTGTTCTTGACTCCGTGGGCTGGGTTTAGGAGAATCATTCTGCCATTTGCCACTTAATTAAGTCAGGGTCAGAATCCATTGCTCAACGGAGAGCTGGAGGGACAGAGCTCTAATAGAATTATAAAAGAGGCCTTTCTCTACTGTTAAGGCTGCCTTTATCTATGCGGGCTCTGCATAGGCAAATGAAAGGGGACACCAGCTCCAGACAGGAATCCCATTTCCACTTCTGACTCAGTAAGCGTTTTGATGTTTGCCCAACATTTCATTCAAATCAAAGTCAATGAAAAGGAAGTTAAAACCATGAATATCAGCTTTGAGGTAGCTTTGGATGACGGAGGAAGGTCGTGGCAAAGCGACCGCCGCTTGTTTGCGAGCTGAAAGAGACACAGGCATTTTTATTGGGAACTTTTAAGCTCCCCTCTATCCCCTAAGCAACAGAGAAATTTAGAACAAGTATGTGCTCGGGCCCGGGCGGGGAAATTGGTGTCTGTTGGTGTCCGTGCGCTCAGATGTGTGTGCATAGGAGTAACCATCAGTTCAATTTCCTAAATATCCCCCCATGCTGTGAAAATTCACTCTCCTTTCCCCTCTCCGCCTCCCCTCCCACCCTGTCCTGGCGCTTTGACATGCTAAATCTGCTGATTTTATTTTTCTTCCTCCTGTGGTGAGGAAGTGTCCCTTTCAAGGGTCTCGGCTTTCCCCCCTGACTGTCTAAACCCTACCTCTGTTTGGATTGTTTTTCTATTTCAAACAAAAGACAGAGGCGGGATTACCATTTCACTTCCTTTCACACTCTGTCTTTCAAGTGGCAGCAGCTGAGGAATTTTTAAAAAACCACTGCTGGCTACTTTTTTTTTTTTTGTCTAAAAACCGAAGCGTCTAGAAAGAGCTGTGAATTTGTCGAATTTAAAGCTCAGCGTCGGCAGTGAGCGAGGCCTTTTTCCTGCAGGTCTCCGGGGCCGATTTGGTAGCGAGGGCTAACAAAGTGTCCTCGGGGCTCCTTTCTGAGATGTTGACGTCTTCTTAATGGCTCTCCTCAGCCTTTTTGTTTCACGTCTTGGTGCTAACTTTCTGCCTCATTTAGCTCATATCAATTCACTGGCCTCCACAGATTCAGCATCTCATTCATGGTGCAGCTCTCTGAAACAAACTTTGGGCAACAAGCTCTCGCTGATTGTTTTTAAACCCTGCTTAGGTTTTTTTTTTTTTTCTGTTAAAGTTTGTCGAGTTTCCCCTTCAGGCTTACAGTAGGTTATACGGTTTACTTAAATTTGGCAGTAAAGGGGGGAAAAAAAACTTCTTGTTTTCAAAGAGTCCACCGGAAATAATGGTAGGGGGGCAGGACGGCCCCTTCCTGTTCTGAGTAGTCCACTGGTTCTAAGGCCAATTGATTTGCTAACAGGCTTGTCCCCACATAATGACTGAGTAGGGATTGATGGAGGTCTTACACCATAAAACTCTGAGCCACTGCAATTGCCTGCCATTAGGGCTGTATTGTTGTTCACATAATACCCTGTTCCTTAAGAAAAGATTTGCTTATGGTGGAGCACAGTGAAGGACTTTCTCCTCTGCGTTTCCTTTTAGGTCATAACAGAAAGAAAAAGAAAGGAGCCCATATGCTCGACGGTTTATTTTAAGGTGCGGGTTAAGTCGCTTTATGAGCTTCCTGTCGGTGTTTTTTCGCAGTTAATCTGTGCTCTGGGGTGCTGATAAAGACTTGCCCCCTCTTCCATCACGTCCTTAACTCCTGTAGTTAGGGCGGGTGCCAGGCTGCTCGCTGCAAGACAGACTGCTCTGCGAAGTGAGCCTGGCAGCTGACATATGAGTCTGAAAATGGTTGCTGTCTGTGGTAAGTTGGCAGCCTTGACACCTGGCTGCGAAGGTCGTAATAAAGAGGAGTGACTAATGTTGAACCGGTTGCTATCGTTAAAATGGCTGCTGTGATTGAAGCTCGGCTGTGTGGAGACGCACTTAAAGGGCAGGTTCACCCAAATTACAAATATATCTACATGTTTCTTGTTCTTAGTTCGGTTTAATCTTGATTTTCAGATGTAACTCTGAGATGTATGCCCCGTCCTCAGCACCAATCTGCTTTTTCATTATCTGTGGATTATCTGAGGTAACTGGTTTATATATTTCACTTGCATGAGCAAATTCCTGGACAAAGACAACAATGAAATGATCCTGATAGATATCGTCTGTGCAGCCACAGAGCTCCATTGTTGTCCAGAAACTATTAGAAGCACATCAGCGAGCCACACCTTTACTTTACTAACACACCAGATCCACAGCTGAAGATAGAAACCTTCCTACAAACTGTTCACTCCTGTTTGAGTAGATCTGGTAGAAAAATGTTTAAACCAGTGTTTATGGATTTAAGTTGGTAGTCGAATGGGCTTTGGGCCGTGAGCTGCAGATGATGAAGCGTCAGAGCGTATTCACAGACCATCGTGGTTTCTGTGGACTGTCTTGGTCAATGTTCACAAACCTATGAGCACCACAATCCCCAAATCAAATCTCAAAGACCTGAGAGAGCAAAAACTCTCTTTCAACAGTTAACACGTTTGCCATTTAGGCTCCTTTAATATGTGATGATTAATACATCATTAGGTCTGGCTACGCGATCGAGTTTAATAATAAAGCAGAGTCGGTTTTCAGCGTTACTATGATGAAATACGATTGAATGGAGCTAAATTGTCCGTCTGTACGTGCTCCTCCGGCTCGGCCCGTTGATAGAGAGTCCCACGAGGGCCTTGTCACTCCAGCCGGCGTTGCCGCTTTAACTTATCCGTACAAACCTTCTCCTTTCTGTCACTCACCCGCAAATCCAAACAACAGCCTCTTTCTGCTCCCCTTATCACACCGGCTGACAGGGTCACGGGGTTAGTACCACACTGGGCATGCTCAGTCATTCACATATTGATATTGATTTTTCTTTTTTTTCTTCTTTCTTATTTGGACAGTTTGTGTGTGGGCAGAGAATGAAACGGAGGGTCAAGATGGAGAGCAATAGATAGAATTCTGCCTGGTGATAGAGGATGGAGCCTTCCCCGAGCCTCTATTCTCTGCTGCAGGCTGGAGTGAAGGAGCCCCACATCCCTCCGTCCCTTTCTGGCTGCCATTCAGCCCCATCGATCTGACTCAGGGCCCAGCCACCCCAAGGGAGACCGGGGCTCCGAGACACACTGCCTCTTTTGTGGAGGGGATCCACCAGTTCAGACTGACAGCCGACAGCGCTGATAAAAATATGTCCCCCGCCTTCCCGTATTGTCCACGGCAGACATGCTGTTCAAGATGTGTAACCTTTAGAAAGCCGGCCAGGCTCTAACCGTCACGCTGACGACCGTAATCACTAGAAACTGGAATATTGCCCAAAGCGTCACACCCTTTGGCATTCTCTCGTCTCTCCAGCCTATCTCGCTGTATTATTTCCCACTGTGATAGTGAAGGCTACTCACTCTCCGGTGCTCTAATAATTTAGAAATGTCACCGTACTCCAGTGAGTCTCTTAGGCCAATTACTGTAATATTTCCCATGTGTGTCCACAATCTCCCTTTCGCGCACGTCTTTTTAAATCGCCGCCTCCTAAATTATGAGATATGTTTTGAACAAGTTCTTCAGCGTAGGTGCGAAACTGCCCGTCGCAGCGCTTCACCCGGCCTGACCCGCGGCGCCCCTGTCATTTCCTTCCCTCCAGGGAGGAGAAGGAGCGCTGGATCCGAGCCAAGTACGAGCAGAAGCTGTTCCTGGTGGGGCTGCCCCAGTCCGACGTGCCTCTGGGCCAGCAGCTGCTGCGGGCGGTGGTGGAGGATGACCTGAGGTTGGTGGTGGTGCTGCTGGCCCACGGCACCAAGGAGGAGGTTAACGAGACCTACGGGGACGGAGACGGACGCACCGCCCTGCACCTGTCTTGCGCCATGGCCAACGTGGTCATCACGCAGCTGCTCATCTGGGTGAGTGGAGAGACTGTGAGATGTTGGTGTTCGGTGTTTGGGCAAAGCAGACGGAACCGTTGACCTCTTTGTTAACCTTGTTTCTTGTTGCAGACGTGCATGGCTATGATCAGGACTTCAGAAATACCAAAGTCATGAATGTAATTTAATGTAAAAGTACCAGTTCTTTCAAGGGGTTCATCTGGATACCAACAGTAGCCTCTAAATTCTACATAAAATACCTGTCATGTTAAATTCATTCCAAGAAGCATCACATCCTCTGAAGTGAAGCAGTCTTCTGTCCCAACACGAGGGTCTAGAAGTTGTCTTAGAGCCATCTCCAATTTGCCAGAAATGCAATACTGGGGGGCCAAATACTGAATCATCTCTTTATTTGAAATTGTTGGCCTGGAAAGCTGAACATACCGAGTCTAAAGGGGTGACATTGTGTTGGTAAAACGCCCACATTCCTGGAAAAATTGCACCATAAATGATCTAAGGCCCTTTTAAACACATCAAACACCGAATTTAAGTCCTGAGCACCATCAATCAGGTACATCATTGGATATTGTTAAAGAAGAAGAAGATGTAAAAGGAGAAGCAGGAGTGCAAGGCATTTTAGAATTTGCCTTTTTTGCACTTAAATGCAAAGATAGTCCAAAAAAAGAGGGACAAATTAATTTAGACTGGTTCCCACAATCGCTTAAAACTTCTCTTATCTACTGATTTACAAAATATTAAGGAGAAAAAACAAAGGAGCTTCTGATTATTCACCACAGTTCCACTTCTAAATTGTTAAATTGCTTCTTTCAGTGCAATCAGGAATTTGTATTACAACTATTTTCACCAAAGTTCCATCAAAATACCTAAAAGAGTTAGCATCGACTAGCGCCTCTACGTCTGTTCTCAATCTGCTTCATGTCCGCCATCTTCCCCCCTCCGCCATCTTCCCCCCTCCGCCATCTTTCCCTCCTCCGCAGTACGGCGTGGACGTGAAGAGTCGCGACGCTCGCGGTCAGACGCCGCTGTCCTACGCTCGGCGAGCCGGAAGCCAGGAGTGCGCCGACATCCTGGTCCAACACGGCTGTCCCAACGACAGCAGCAGCCTGACCTCGGTGGCCACGCCCAACATGAGCCGCCGCAACCCCAACATCAACAACAACAACGCCCAGTGTGAGCTCAACCGCAGCATCAGCATCATGTAGGAGCCGGACAGCAGCCCCGCAGATCAAAAAACAGAAGAAGAAAAAAAAAAACCCAACCTGTGTCTCTTCCCAGTACTTCCTCCTCTGTTTCGCACTGTGTAACCCAGAACCAGAACCGATGGAGACGCGTGAGGAGGGACGAGTGACTTGTTCCACGGCCGCTCGGGGCTCGGACGTTGTACATTGTTTGTTTTATATTATTGATTTGTATTCAGTTTTTTTTTTTGTTTGTTAAATTTATTCAAATCTTGGTCTGAAACGATCATGATCAGCTTTAAGCTTCTTGTTTTTTAAGCGTCAACCAAACAAATGACTTACTTTGGCATTCATACTTACCCTACGAAAAGTATTTCCTTAATGCTTGAACATTTCCTTTGATGTTTCTTCCCCCTTCTGCGATGTGAACCGGTTCTATAATGAGCGAGAAACTTTCCTCCGATTTCCAAGCCCGAGCGTAGTGACATAAAAACTGTAGAGAATAGTTTTCTGTTGTTTTTTTTCTTTTTGGCAAGTGACAGAACACTGATGTGGGAAAGAAACTAAATCTCTCGTGATATCAATGGCTGTTAGAGCTTTCGTAATGATGCATGTCTTCAACACAGCTAACTCTTGACATACTATTCATATACAAACGCAAAGCAATTATAGTTAAAGAGTCCAAATGATTTAGATACTTAATTCACAGGGAAATGGATTCGGATCATCATAAAGGAGTTGATTGCAGAATTTCCATTGGGTGAAAGTGAGTCATTTCCCCTCGCCACCCTTATCATGATCCTCCAGCAAAAGTGTCTGTGACTATAAAGGAATTAAGGGGCATAATGTTTTATGACCATCGAGCCACATGGCTTCGTAAGTGCTCCTCTCCAATCAGAATTCATTCAAATTCAAAGGTTTGATTGAAACAGTGAGATTGTACCATTACCGTGTCTTTGTTGGAGTAATTTTCCGATTGACTGGATTGTGTTGATAATTGTTTGACACAGATTTCAAAGCGTACTGGGACATCCGTTCACCTCCTGCGGCCAAAAGCTGCAAGAAAAAAAAAAGAAGAAAAAATTGGTACCGTTAAAGAACACTTCCTCTATTGTTGCTGTGAAATACATATATGGTACTGTGTGCGTGTCCGTACATTACGTGTGTGCTTACGTCTTCGTCGGTGACCGTGTGAGAGCGACTGGGCATTTCTGTTCACTGAAGGACACTGGAGAGAAGACGGACGCCTGCAGTGAAGACTTGGGAACATAACTGTGTTTTAATGTACAGACCTCTGTAAAAAAGTAGTTCTTGTTCCTTCGCCTTATTCCTGATAAGAACAGTATGAACTTACTCGGACTTGTAGAGTCAATAAAAGCAGCCCTGTCCCCTCCCCCTCCCCCTCCAGTCCTGTCAGCCGAAAAGCAGGGAGTTGTTAACGAAATGCAAAATGACTGAAGTGACATTTAGGGACGAGCAGCGAGGCTCATAGAGGGAAGTTCTGATTAGTTAACAAACATGTACGATACGACATGATGATTCATTTATAGTAAATAGGACTTCAGGTGGCTACAAACGGTTTATTTTCTCTTTTATTCGACTGCCATTTGTGAGGTTTTAAGATATTTTAACGTTTACAGAAGCGAGTTGTTCACTTGGTACCATATCCACATGAGTTGCTTCACAGCGTTCAGGACGTAAATGAACGGAAAAAGGATATCTGCTAATCCAGGAGAATTTATCAAAGGAATAGTTTGACATTTTTTTAACTGTATTAATATTTGCTTTCTTGCAAAAACAAAAGTTTGATGAGTACATCCAGCCTGCTTTAACAGAAAGCTGCACCTCGTAGCTCCATATAAAGCATTTTATACACTTTTGTTTCCCCCAGATTCAACAACCTGGATCGATCTGAAGGTGCAGGTGGGAAGATGTTCTTAACCTCCTCACTTGGTTGAGCTGCTTCCTGCCTTTTTCTTAAGGGCGATATCTTCTCACCCAACTCCCAACAAGAAGGTCGATTTACATGCAAAAATGTCGAATGATTCCCACACCTGATTTCTTTGAATTCACTCGTACTGTACTGTGATACTGGCCTTATTTCTGATCATTACTTGACCAACTTATTGCAGTGAGTCCGTTTCACTGTCCTGGGGGGGGGATGACCTGAACCCTCATTTACAAACTGTAGACAACTAAAAAAAAAGGAAGAAAAAACACTAGAAACTTGCCTGTTTCTCCCCCAAACAACACAACATGAAGTGTACATATTAGCGTGATGCTTTTACCTCCTCACAGAGAAACAAACTGAACTGGTTTTTAGGTCCTCTTGACCCACAAACCATATTTTGATATGTTGTTTTCATTTCTCCTTAGGCATATTTTTAAGGTACTGTTTGGTCTCGACATACCCGACCATCTTTGGTACTTGTGTATAATGATGTACATTTGACATATTTATAATGCAGTATGTAAATATCTTTTTTTTTTGTTTGGTTTTGTTTTGGTTTTGTTCATTTTCCTATTGTAATTCCTTTTACGTTCAGAACGTGAAACAAAGCAGAAGCTAAAGAGTAACTTGTTGTATGCTTGGATGCTTGGCTGACTGTTGACCTATTAATAAACACTCAAATAAAACGACGTAGCCTTCCCTGGATTTAGGGAAATCAACACATCTGTGCCGTGTTCGTGTGCTTCGTTCATCCTCCATCCTGCTCCCATCGCTTCCACCTGACCTGCTCGAGGCCCAACACTTGATTTCAAACCGTCGTCTTGCGCGTCCGTGTCCGATGCGACTCCAGCAGGCCCGCCTCGAGGTAAGTACAGCAACCTCCTCGCTTCCTGCTCGTGAGACCCCCAACAGTCGCTGAAAGAGGATTAAGATAAAGAGCCGGGCTTAGTGTCAGGCAGCACAACACTGTGGGGAAAACCCAAAGATCTCAGTGTTCAGAGGAGTCAAGCCCTCACTAATCCACTTCTTATTTCCTGCTAATCTTGTCTCAGCATATCTTCATCCCCTTCCTCTCTCTGTTGGCCGCCATTGTTTGCGCTTTATCACCTGGTTTCTCTTTAGTTTTTCCTCTTCCTCCCTCGGCGGTGCCTGGACACGGAGCCCCGAGTCACGCTCAAAGGCTCTGAAAACTCATTTTCTCCCTCGGCTTCCTGACTAGCAGTAATTGGGTGGTAGCCGGTTAGCTTTCCTTTCACGTCACGATTTCCATATTTTCGGTGTGTTCTCTGTGCTGCCGACACGACAGCAGGATGTTGTTGGGTGACGCCTCATATCTCTGCAAATGAGCAACATCTGAGTTAAGTTGCTGTCAGTCAGATCTGATCAACCCCTCAGTCATCTGGAGTCATATTTGTGTCCCTCTGATGAGTTTAACTCCAATATTCCCTCTTTTATTTCAGTTTTTGGCCTCCACCAGCTTACTGAGGGAAAACTAGCTGCTAAATGTTCACCAGCTTTTCTTTCTTCTAGAGGAGCCACATCATTTAACCTAAACAATGTGGAAAACACTCCTTTAGAGTTTCAAAGCTATGGGAAACTTCAGAGCAGGTGATCATCTTCTCTGGTGTCGTCACTATTGTTTATATCAGGGGTGTCGACATCCGGTCCTCGAGGGCCGCAATCCTGCATGTTTTAGATGTTTCCCTCTTCCAACACACCTGATTCAAATGATCAAGATCGTTATCAGGCTTCTGCAGAGCTTGATGATGAGCTGATCATTTGAATCAAGTGTGTTGGAAGAGGGAAACATCTAAAACATGCAGGATTGCGGCCCTCGAGGACGGCAGTTTGACACCCCTGGTTTATATAAAATATTAATTTGAGAATGTTTAAGATTTAAATCCAGAGCCTGAAGACGTTGCTCACACAAACCTCAGCTTCCTTATTTCATCCCTCCTGAGAAATAACCCCCCTCCAAAAAAAAAAAAACCTGTCCTGTAATTTATGACCGTGCCTCACGTCTTGGCAGACCCCGGCCACTCGTGTTTGTTGTGGTGAGGCTGGAGCACTTGCTTGCACTGCTGTGTGTTTTGATATTTCATCAGGGCCTGCTAAACAGTGAGGAGGGCTCTCTGCCGCCCACCTCCTCTCAGACAAATTGCCTCCAAGATTGCAGAGGTGGGTCTGAGGCTGATGGATGGGTACACAAAGACCTGACGAGACCATATTTGCAAACATTAAATCCATATTTCCATAACATGGAGGAGCTGCTTGGCCACAGGCCACTTTAACAGCCTGTTTAGCAAAGCAGTCAGCGGCGTGCTCAGCCCTGACGTGGACGTTGCATCTTTCCGGTTTATCTTCCGTGCTCATCGCTGCCTGTCTTGATGTGGATATGTTACTGTTGTCCCACATGTTCCCCTCCTCTCTCCAGCCTTTTAACCTCTTTAACCAGTAATTATATCCACTCTGCTCCCTCGATCTGACCGTGTCTCCTCTCTGGAATCCCCACAGATTTGAACATCCATTTATCAATTTCAGCTCCATCATGTCTGACCAGTGCATCCATGTTGCACTCTGCCCTCTGCGACTGCACCCAAAACTCACGTCTACAACTCATTTCCATATCCGTGCACTGATCTGCAGGTTTCACTCCATCCCTGCTTCTTTTTCTCTCTCCTGCTGCCAACCTGGCTGCCTCATACCCACCATGCAATCTTCCTCCTCGCCCTCCTCTCGTTCCTTTGTCTTATATAAACACTCTTTTCCCATCACTCTCTCCCATGCTCCCTCTCTTCTTCTTTCCTCTCTCTTCCTCTCCCCTTCCCCGTTGGCTTTTGCCTGCATTTCGCTGTTAATTTGCCTGAGAATGCATTAGCTGTAATGAAGGCTGAGGGCCGAGGGAATCCTCCAGGGTTCCATTAATCATCCCCCCTCAGACAGGCAACCTTGATTACAAGTGGCAAGAAATTCATTAGAGCCGGGCCTCTGACAACTCTTATCTCCGCCACTAGATCTGACTCATTAGGCAGCCAAATTAAAGCTATGATGGCCCTGATGAAACTCATCGCTTGTTTATCTTGTGCGATTTGATGCATCTGCCCATACATCACTGTAGCCACGACCGTCCAGTCCCTCCCAAGAAGTCAGGCCTCCAGTCGGCGGCGAGCAGCCTGCACGCTCACACAACCGGCCGGTAATGAGCTCCCTCGCTTTCCTCTTCGCCTCCCTCTCCTCTCTGTCTGCAGGTAGCAATGAGGAAATAGTTACACGTCTTTGCTGGGAAGAACTTCTGATATTTCAATTTGTGATTCAAGTAGCAGAAAGTGAGACTGAGGAGTTCACCGAATGCGGCTTTAATTGAAGAGAGATTATGAAAGCACGTTTGACAGACACCTCAGTCTGCTGGAGAGGAGTTGCTCCAACAACGTAATGAATCTGTAATTGTCAAATCAAGTCTACTTGTTGATCTCTAGAAAAAAACAGGCACATTTTAGGTGAATAATTTCACTTCTAATAATCAGGTTTTGGGGTCATTCTATGGCAGAGAAGCTCAGTTTAGGATTCTCACTGTTAATAACAACAACAGCCAACAGAGGCCGAGCTGTGTCATGGCTCCTGCTCGTCACCGTGCAGCTCATGGGGACCGAAATAGCCGTTACACTCTGGCACGACGTCGTGGAATTGACCGTCTATATTAGTCAGCTCTTGGACCACAATAAAACTTCCACTACTCCGTCACACGATCAACACTCCTTGAATCCCCATCCGAGTGTCACAGTCTTGATGTATGAGGTGGACGGTGGAATAAACTTTACTACTCATGGGCGCCCAGGTCACCAAACGTCTGAGGTCAAGCTGACACGCGGTGTGTCGAGAGGTTCAAGGTGGATGAAATGTGAGGTAGTTCACCCACATAGCAGCTAAACACTCAGTCAGCACAGAGCCGGCTCATTAAATTAAATATTAACACTAATAAAATATTTGAAGAATCTCGCCCCGTCTTCATACTTCAACAGATGCTGCTGCTGAAAAGCTTAAACATGGCTCCGGGCCTGAGTCTTTTTTTGGAAACAGGGAGACCAATCAGTTACTTCCCTCTGAGGTGGAGTGAAAATATTCCAACATGAGACTTTTCTGGAAGGAGTTCAGAGAAGCTGTGCAAACCCAGAGCCATGCATATGAAAGTTTCCATAAAACATCAAGCCCCTCTTCTTCTCTGCTTCCTGTAAGAGGATAGCTGTGTGGCCAGACATTATTTTAGTTACGGATTATTTTAATATTGCTGCCATGTACTATAAATTCTTTTTTTTTTTTGATCCGACTGAGCAAACTGCAGCATTTATTTGTTCATGTGAAGTAAATACTTATATGTAGTTATTACAGGGGGAATATTAGTACTTGTTGGCTACAGGTTTTTGTATGTATTTCTAAGGTAATAGTTTTTTTTAAAGCTTCTATTTCATTTTTTTTATATATAAAGAAATTTAAATTGAAGAAAAAAACCTCTCACTCAAATATCATACAGCTTTAATATTTTTTACATTTTATATTTTAATAATTCTTAACATTTTCAAGCAAATGCTAAATAAAATCTGTATAATTTAGTTGTATATTTTTAAAAAAAGAGCCATGATTTGTCTTGTGTCCAAGAAATGTGTCTTCATGGCGGTTTTAAAACACCATGCACCCCCTGTATGCCTTATATTAAACCACCTGGACTTCTTCTGAGTCTGTTTTGTAATGAGTTACTAAAAATGCATTTTGTTGGCATGAGATCAGGAGGAGTTCCTGTCGGTTCAGGCCGCTGTGGTGACTGATGGAGAAGTTCATTACAGTGTGTTGCCTAATGAGGATCCATCAGTCCACTTGAGACAACATGGCCTCCTAAAGACGAATCAATCACTGCTGCCTGCTTCTTTTTTTCTTTCTTTTTTTTAAGAAATACTCATCTACCTTTAGGTTCTGATGTCTGGAAAAAAAAATCACTTGTAAATTCAGAAAAATTAAAACTAACACGTGCGTAAAAGGAGCCAAGAGTTAAACCATGAGTGGACTTTAAACGCTCCACGCTGAAGCCCTTTAAATATTTTTTTACAAGTCAAGAAATTACATTATAAAATTTTAAAATAACGTCTTCAGCATTTATAAAAACGTCCCATTTTATTTCAAATGTGCTGCATCATATCCAAATAGCCGCCTGGCTGCAGTTTGCCCCCAAAACCAGTCGTCATATTTAAACAGTAGGCCACGTTTGTTTTTATCATTTCAGTTTGATAAAAAATAATTTTCTCAACCATAAGCACATCGTTGATCTACTTTCTAACTGATAATAATTCAACCTGGATTCCAACTTTCGTATAAAGCGATTTATTAGGTCAATATACTTTACAGGTGTCCCTTGTTTGGTCGTTATTTCCTTCACATCTTTTTTTATTTTTCTTTTCCACAAATAGCTGTCAAAGGTGGTTCCTACACTTGCCAAACGAAATGTAAAACGTCTTAAGTTACATGCAAATGTGGTTTAACAAATTGTACGAAACACAAAAACGAAAAATCCAGAATAGCTTCACCAAATGAGGACATGCACATAACCAACAGAACATTTTGGCCCTACATATAAATACTTAAAAAAAAAAAAGAAATCTTTACAGTCGCATCTCATAGTGCCCATTTGTACCAGTTGTTTTGTTTTTTTTTTCTTTTCTTTTTTTTAACCCATTTATATTTACATATTCACAGAACAATAAATAAAAATGACAGCAAAATAATCGGTCTGTCTGTGAGCGAATCCTCCTCTGCTCAGTCTCACCTCTCAGACAAAATCATTTGAATCCTCCTTTTTGTGCTTCATGCGTTCAACAAATCAGTGGAACATAGAGTCAATGTAAGTGTTTCTATTATTCGTATTTTTTGTGATGTTCTTCTGAGTTCATGGCCTGGTCCCCTGCTCTATTTGTTGATGCTGACTCCTCACTGCGAACCTGTTGACGTGCACTGGGATGGGCACCACAATTTTGGGGTTTCTCACCGGTTCTCCTGACCGGTTGTTGACGTTGCCGGCCTTGATCCGTTTCCATTTGGCCCTGCGGTTCTGAAACCAGATCTTCACCTGCACCTCGCTCAGTTTAAGTGCATGTGCAATCTGGGAGCGTTCAGTCAGAGAAAGGTATTTTTTACAGTGAAACTCCTTTTCAAGTTCGAGCAGCTGCTCGCTGGTAAAAGCTGTTCGTCTCCTCCGGCTCTTCCCTGCTGAGCTGCCGGTCGGTAGCGCCTCCTGCGAGCCGGTTTTTAGTTTGCTCTTCTGGGACAGAGGACCACAGTTGTTTCCGTCCGAGAAACTTTCGTTCTCGCTGTCTGCCGAGCTGTCCTCCCGGTCGCTGCACACCGTGTCTGCGGATTTTAGGTCCAGCTTCTCGTCGTCTGAACTGTAGAGTTTGGTTTCACCTAAAATGTGGAGAGAGGGAGAAAAAAAAACAGAACACACACACATTTAGGTTGAGTCATTTAATAGTTCATGAGGCTGCGAGTCAAAAGCGAGAATTACGCAATGTGTCACAGCGTTAAGGCACGAAGCAGGTTGTGTTTTCTGAGGGAGCTCGTTCAGATAAAGGCCCAGAAAAAAATATTCTTTGTTTGTTTGTTTTTTTTAAAGAAGAAGAATGAATTTAGAGAAATTATCAGTAGCTTTAGCTGCAGCATTAATGTGATTTTTATATACTGGACCACTATAGTTATGTTGAGTTGTTGTGTAAGTTTTGACTACAAACATTTTTAGCAACTTGAAAATATTTAATTCCAAATGCCTATATAATAATTCTTCTAAAGGTAAAATGTGGTTAACTTGTGTATGTTCTTCAGCTCGATGCTGAAGAATATTATGAAAACAAATAATTTCGGTCGTGGCCTATAAAAATAGTCACTGCGTCTGAAACGACCTTTAATCAACCTGCACCCACTAGGTTTAGATTATGACACATCCTTATTAGTTACCTACAAATGTGACGAACTGAGACAAGATGGACTCACCATCACCAACTCAGAGCCCAAATAGTTTAGCCATGGGCCAACAAGCTGTGCCTTAACGCATTTTACGCACGGTGGCCACTTTTTACGCACCGGCCTTTATGTTTGCACACGACGAAATGGAAATAATAACACAAGAGCTGGACATTACCTGATATTGTTTGAAAAGTTTCCGAGAAGTTCAGTAGTTCAGAGCCCTTGTCCCGGCTGTGCAGCTCCTCGGAGTGCGGACTCTCCTGCCGTCTCGCTCCCGGGTCAGCGGCGCTTAAACGGGGACCAGGCAGCTCTTGTGGCGGGTAGAAACTGTCCGGCGGATCCGAGAAACTTGGCATGGTCGTGGTGAGCGCGACCATGGACGGCACCCCCTGTCCCAAACTGGCACAGAACGTGTTGGTGAGGCGTCCCGCGAAAGAGGCCAACGGCGCCAGTGGAGGTATACCAGACGATAAAGGGGAGTGGGATAAAGCTTGTGGGATAACCAAAGGTCTGTACGGCATGAACATGGGGTAGCCCGTGTAGAGCAGGTGTCCCGGTCTGGGCTGAGGGGTTCCTATGAGGGAGTCGATAGAAAACGCCGTCCCCTGGCCGCCTGGTCTCTGCATTTTGCAGGCGAACGCTTTGATTTGGCGAAAACTTGAAAGCAGATGTCCCCTTTTTCCACAGCGACGCGCAAAACTTTCAGTTTAAAGACAGAGTGGAGTGAAAGTAGATCCTCTGCCGTGTTGTCATCCCTGGAAGTGGACTGCCTCTCCGGATCTGTGCACTCTATATGCGTTAGCCAGTCGGGGGCTTTGTTGTGTGCCCCAGCGCTACCTTTTCCCTCTTATTTGTCACACACTGAGACATAAACACACGCTCTCTCTATCTATCTACCTCTCCCCTCTCTGCAACTCCTCCCTCCGCCCCTCTGCGAGCCACAGTGTGTGTGTGTGAGTGTGTGTGTGCGCAGAGAGGAAGGGCGAGAGCGCATTGGTTATCATCTGCAATACAAGAGGAATGAAAAGGGGGTGTTTCCCTGGGGGCTCATCCATCTTCCTCAAATTACGCTTCATTTCCTTATTCAGCCTCTGACTTTTTGGCCGTCTTGAGAGGCGGTAGTTTCCCAGTGGAGACCAAATAGACGAGTCGCACCCCCAGCCCTCCTCCCCTCTTGCCAGGTTCACCATTGACTGCAAAAACGGTGTGAGAGACTGCTCCAGCCCTTCCCCTTCTATAATCGTTGACCACACCAACCCAATCAGCTATTATTAATTTTGATTGATGATAAGTAATTACTCTGGATTCAAGGGACAGCGTAAAACAACGGCGGCTTTTGTTGAAATATTGGGGCCGATGGGCATCAGAGTCAGGAGGGAGGAGAGGCAGATGTTTCTCCGCTCGCTGTCCTATTCTCCGCGGCTAAAAACAATGCGTTTGGCTTCGGAAAAAGAAGTGCTGCAACAATTGTTCCCTGGAGAGAGATACGCTCTGCGAAATTAGATTCAGATAAAAGGCGTTTTGTGTGAGGTCAACTGCGGCGTGGACGCGCACAGACAGTGGCCAAAGTCAAATCTGAGAGGATCTCCACTTTGGGTTTTTTTTTTTTTGAATGTATTTAGAATCGTTTCATCTCTAAACTCTCATGTGTCAATTAAAGCGTCCCTGCGTCACGTTATAAATTCAATAAGGCACGCGTTTTTGCGCTGCGCTCTGGGAATAGTAATTTGTCTCTGATCAAAGATGCATGTGGAGGGTTGGGGGGAGAGAAAAAAAACGCGTTTCTCTTTTCTTTAAGCACTGGTTTAATCGCAGATCATCTCACCTTTTAAATGGCAATGGGGACTGATGATGATTAGCCCTATTGAGTCCTGGGTGCCCGGGCTCTCCAACTGGTCGTCTGATTGCATGAGGACATAAACATATCACCACCGACTCTGATTAGCGGTGGAGGGCCAGGCCAGGCTAATTCTTATAATTGCAAGTGACTTCAGCAGCACCTCTCTTTGATCTATTGAAACCATTTGCCGAGCTCCTCTTTCTTTCTTTCTGGTCTTAAACTGCTTCACACTTTTTATTATTTTTAGCCCTTTTTTTTAAACACCAAACTGAAAAATTGTATTAAAAAGTAGCTCATATTTCTTTTTTCCTACTAAAAAAGTTTTATAAACGATGACAGGGAAGCTCTAAACATATATGATTATAATGAATGTACAAAAGGAGACTTGTTTTCAGTGTGAACAGACAAAATGAGGTGTAAAGATAATCTGCAAGAAATATACAAATAATAATATGAACTAAAAAAATAAAATCTTTCTTCTAGTGGAGCAGACTGACAGGTTTGACTGTTAATTCGGTTTTAATGAAAGATTGTCCTGAACTTTCTGTTTCCATTTCACGACAATTAGTCACATTTTAAAATCTGCAAACTTAAAATCTACTTCAATGCAAAGGCTTTCAGCAGCTCTAAAATATATGTTATGTAATTAATGTTATTATAAACCTCGAAGAACTAAATAAAAACCAAATTATTCAAGCAGAAACACCACAGAAGACAGAATATATCTGAAAAAGAAGAATAATAAAAGAACAGTGAGCAGGTTTCATGGCCATGGTGGGACGTTTTATTAGATTTTTATCAAACCTAATGTTCATATAAATCCTCAAATGTTATCGGTGGGAAACACTAAATGCAAATATTTGCTTCCAGTCCTCAATGAAGGCAACAACAGCAAAAATAACTGAGCTTACTGGCATCGAGGTGTGACAATTAATATGTACAAAATTACAAGCAAGTTAGCCTCGTTAAAATCAGAAGTAAAAAAAAAAAAGATCAAAAATTAAAAAATACAAAACATACAGTTGCATCTCTTCCATTCACTCCATCAGCTCTGGTCTATAGCGCCCTCTTGTGGTGCAAAATCAAACACTGTGCTGGAACATTGATGCAGAGTATAAATAACAAGTGCTCCTGACAAGCTCATGTGATGCAGAGCATGTCCTAAATATTAAACCTTATATTACTAATGATGATCAGATTGTGTGCAGCTCTCTGGTCACAATCAGGACCTCTACCTACCTACGACTACACAAAGAGCTGTCAGTGGACGTATCCTCTGTACTCCAGCAGCAGGTAGTTCTTGATGAAGGTGGGCAGGTCCAGCTTCGGGACCACCTCGTGCACTCGGTCGCTCAGGAAGCTCCTGAGTCGGCAGCGTGCCAAGTGCTGCAGGGAGCGAGGAGTCAGCGCCAAGGAGAGGATCGACTGGAAGAACTCTTTGTGCTGCTGCAGGAGGGGAAAAAAAAACAAAACAAGGATTAATGCGCTCAAATTACAGCCTAACAATCAGCTTATATTCTAAAATGAATGAGTGCTAATTTAATAAACAGCTGATTGATCGTTACGTTCTTCATATCAGCCCTTTCGTGGATATCAAACATAATTAAATGATTGTGGTCCATTGTTGAAATCCTTCCCGACAACCTCAGGCATTTTATTCTGATTAATTTGTTATTTAAAGGCCCTATTTATTAGAGACGCTGAATTCTTCTCAAATTAAATAAATAGCTGCGATGGATCACCTCAGATTGTCAAAAGTGGTTTTATTGGAGCAGATTTAACCACAACAAAAAATGAGACAGAAATACCATAAAAAGACTCTGAAGAAGAATACAGCATTTAAAGAAATAAAACATTTGTCAAAGCTTGCCTTAAACGCCTCTTCAGGCACCGACTCAGCCCAGGTGTCTGTGACTTTCAGGTGACTGTAGGCGTTGAGGAGAACCTCGATGGTGCGCGGAGACTCGCAGCAGTGCTTTATAACCTGAAATATACATCACAAGTCAGAGACAATCGTCATTTAAGTTCACGAGCAATCCTGTGACTCCATAGAACTGAAGAAATAAAGTAATTAAACACTTGTGAAATGAACAGATTGGTCTTCCCTCCAGGGGTTTAACTGGAAATTATGCAATTAGAGCTAATTAATCTCCTATTAACACTTGCCTAATTAGGAACCAGGCATTTTGTCTAGTGCACGTGGGTTCACTGATAGTTGTAGTCTGTTTCCCGCAGAGAGTGCAACACTTCATGTTGTGTCATGAAATGGTAATGATTTCAACGTGAAGTTGTGAAGTCTGCAGCGAACCTTGTAGTGCTTCAAGACTTTTAGTCAAGGTGTTACATGTGCAGCACTTGCTAATTATGCAAAATGAGCCACCTTGATGAATAATTGGTTCACAGTGTTGATGTGATCTGCTGCTACAGCTCAACCCGGACGGCCATATTTACTGCTTTGTTCACACGTTGTTACTTCCTTTGGTTTTCCTACCATGGGGAGAGCCCCGGGCCACACCCGGATGGAGCCGTAGTTGAGCAGCGCTCGGACGATCCTCTCGGGATGATGGGAAACCTTGTAGCACACCACCTTCAGGATGTTGTGCATGGGAGCCTCGCCGCCGTAGTCCATGTCGTTAACGTAGGCGCCGTGAGCCAGCAGCAGGTCCACTATATCTGGATTTGCGTTCTTGCAGGCCATGTGCAAAGGAGAGTGTTTGTCCTGGTCCAGAGTGTGGACGTCAGCCCCGGCCCCCAGCAGCATCTGGCACACCTGGAAGTAACGCTGCAGGTCCTGAGACTCCTGAGGCTGCGCACAAGCGGCGTTGAGGGCCGTGAGACCCTCGTCGTTCTGCTTGTCCACGGCGGCTCCGTAGCGCAGGTAGAGCTCCACGTGGTCTGGGAGGCCGTTCCTGGCCGCCACGTGTAAAGGAGTGTCGTCTTCCTCTAGACTGCGGCCGCTGATTGCTGCACCGTACTGAAGCAGATATTTGGCACATCTGCAGAACACAGTATAAATGAGAGCAGTGATCCCCAAACTTCTTTCTCTGATACACCCCAAAAGTAGACGAGATGTCGTACCTGTTCATCAACATCAGACCTCGTGTTCCAAATGTGTTCAACTGATTTCAAAATAGAAGCAACTTAACATCATTAAGCTTTTTGTCATTTTATATTAAAGCGATAGTAGCTAATCTAGGCAGCAGAAGCTCCGTATTTCATCGATGTGTCCAGCTCTTTATGCTATTCATTCCATTTTCTTTGCTCACCTGCTAACTAGACGTAAAATCTTTGCAACTCTTAACAAATAACATGTCCTTTTAATTAATCAGCATTAAAATGCACCTTTGCTGATTTCAATAACTTCAGGGGTTTCCTCCCCTACATACTTGCTCAGTCTAGTACAGCCACCAGCTCATGATATCAGCCAACAAAAGCACATTTTGGGTGGAAACTGCAGCATGCTGACTTTAAATACCACAATCATCCTCTTACTTTATTTAACCCTCCTATTACCTTCAAATGTACTGACATCTTTTATCTTTGGGTTCAATTTGACGCCAGCAATTTAAACCTCCAGAAAATATCATGATTAAAATGTGTAAATAGCCCTTTAAATAAAACTGAAAAAAATGTGTCAATGACTTATTTAGAGATGTTAAACAGTGAATGGGTTCAAATTGACCCCAAAGATAACAGGAGGGTTAAATTAATTAACAATAATCAACATACTCTGCATCTTATGAGGAACTGGAATACACTTTCTAGTTTTATTATATTTTACTCACTCAAGGGATTCAGGGCTGGTGCAAACATGCAGAGGCATGAGGCCGTCCTCTGAGACGGCGTTGGCGTTGGCGCCGTGGATCAGCAGCAGCTTGGTGCACTCTGGCTGGCAGTTCTCGCAGGACTCGTGCAGGGCTGTAATGCCGCCAGGTGCGAGGTCCACATTCGCCCCGCGTTGCAGCAGGAGTCCCAGGCAGTCCGCGAAGCCTCGACCGGCTGTGATGTGAAGGGGTGTCGTCAGCTCCTGCTCGTAGGTCAGCGACCACAGTCCTGCCAGCAGAGAGCAGGAATGGCATTAAATCAGCTCTGAGTTCAAGACTTAAACCCAATGTTCACAAGCAGAGGTGATAGATTTAAACATTGCAAGAGTTCTTTTCAAACAAATCGTATTATTTCTGAGCCCTCAGAGTGTCAGCACCTCTCCTTGTTGGTAAAAATTACACTGAATGAAAGAGTGAAGGATAAAATCAACCTACTCAGGCCTCTGTAGTTAAATCTGAAGTTCTTCCACTCCTCAATGTTGCTGGTGTCATAAACGGCATCGACGAGGTAGCCATACTCGTCGTCGTCCACGATACTGAGGATGGTCAGCTCGTCGCCCACGAGCAGCGAGTTCCAGAACTGCAGGACGCAGCCTGTGGCCTTGGCCGTGGCGATCACGTCTTCACGGTAGTTCTTGGCCTTGCGCCACTTGACTTTAGTCCCGACATAAGCCATTTTTGCAGCTAACCAGTTTGTTTTTGGATGTTTTAGATGTGGGGTTTCACCCGAAGGCACTCTTATGTGGGTTGTTTGTGCAGACGGGGCTATTTCAGGGAGCTGTTATTTGATATTTTGCTTGACCCGGTGAACCTTGCCAACTCAGTTGCATGGGAGCCAATAACCAGTGACTGTGCATTACATGGAACCTGCGCCTGTTTTCCAGCTAATCTGCTGAAGTCAGAGGATGATGCATTTTTGCATTTAAAGAAATTAGAAGCAGCACATTCTTTTAATAAATCTAACAGTTTTAGTGCCATCCACTCCAGCAAAAATTCATTTTGTGTTTTATCCAGAATTTTAACTTGTAGTCCTTCACATTCATTTCTCGTGACTCGATTAGCTATTGCACATAAAATCTGATCAAAAATCTTTTTCTCTTCCAGCAGCCTATTTAATTTTCAATGGAAGGGCTTCAGTTGAATCTAATGCATCCAGATCCTGTTGCACAGAACCAACAGATGACTGCTGGGTCTGATGGACATATGATGGTTTCTATAAATACTGCCTCGTGCTCTGTTTCTATTAATATCGCACCACGATGTCTTTAAATAGCCTCCAACCCCAAGGTGAGATGCAGCAGATGCATACTGCACATAGCTGCACATTATAGTGATTTTAAAACAGTGATTTGTCTTTTACCAGCTCTGCCAAAACCACACTTTCAAAATTCTGTTTTTTTTTTTGGATGCTAATCTGCATTAAATACAATAAAGCTACAAGCAACGATCTGTCAAATCATATGAATTCTTAAACAGACTCCTAATGAAGACAGATGTCGTCTCTTACCTTCCCCTCCGGCGACCCAGCGCATCTCCCCTCCCTGTGGCTCAATGATGAGGTTTGCTGTGGATCCTCGAGGAAAAAGGTGCTGCATAGCCTCCAGGTCTCCTGTATACAGAGCGTTCTGGATGACCACGTCTTGGCAGACAGTCGGCGGCCGAGCAGAGCCGGACCTCAGCGGCGCTCTGTCCACGGCCTCCTTCTTCAGCATGTAGCTGCTGAGGTGATGGGAAGCAAGTTGCCTCTTGTACTTGTCTCTTTCCAGCATGTCCTTGTCAAGTTCAAGAGACCGTAAGGCCATGGGTGTGAAGACAAAGCTGCCTCGCGACATGCTGAACGGTTCTGCCTGTCGAGGAGAAAAAGGCTTGTGTAAGATGTGTGTTACTGAGAGAGAGAGAGGCCCGTCTCTCTGTTTCTGTTGTTGTTTCACTCTGTCTGGCTGATGTCCACTCGGTGCCTGCCGGCTGCTCGCAGGCTTGGTTCACTGAGTTGTTTTGATATTCGGCAGGAGACCCTCCCTGCAGTGTGACAAGTAATGCTATTTTTATGTCTCACATGCAGCCACTGAAGCCTCCAGCGAAAGGTACAGCCACCAAGTCTGTCTTTTAGGCTGCTAGTGTCAAATGGATTGAATAAACTCATGCTCAGCACATGCTGCTTTGTTCTGGGTGCGAGAAGAGTGTTTGCAAAATTCAATGAGAGGAATAGAGCAGGTTGGCTTCCTTAAAAATACAGCTAATGTTACATGAAGCAAATAGAAATGTTTTTTTTTTTTCAATGCATTTCTTACTCTAAATGTGCAGAGAATAGTCTGTAAATGTGAAAGTCACTGGATGATGAACTGCTTCCACTCAGAAAGTTGAAGAAGTGATCGCTGAACATTAAAGGTCAAAGTTTGTCCTGACATTTTTCATGGAGGAAGGACAAATAAGAACGCCCTGTTTGCAAGCCCCTGTGAGTCGCTTTCAAAATGTCTTTTTCTGCAGAGTTTTTTTTTTTTTTTTCCAAGAGCTTTAATGGATTTTATGCATCCACATGGCTCCCTGCATTAGAACATTAGGCTGAATGACTGGCAACCGCTGTGTCACTCTGCCCCACGTGTAGCGTTCTGATGGCAGAGGGACGGCGCATAATTAAGCCTCTTAAGCCTACTCGCTAGGCATCTGACAAACATCTCCTTTGACTGATGAACAACCTTTTTTTTTTTTTCCAGTGGTAGAAATCCAACCCGGTAGCAAAAACATCTCCGTGGCCACCGAGGATGGGTTTTCACGGCTGGCGGAGACGACTCCGAATGACCTTTGAGTATTTAGGAGGCTAATTTGATATCGCCGCCCGGTTACGCTCGCTGTGTTCGATGCACGGTGTATTAAAACACACACATTTTCAGGTGTGTTTATCCGCCTCCGTGTCGGAGTCCATTAAAACACACGCGAGCTTTGCAGAAAACAAGGTTTTTGCGCCACAGGTGGAGAAATGCAGGATATTGGCGGAGAGGTTTTGCCTTCTTTCCCCATTTGAAAACACAGAAGCATAGCTGCATCTCATCTATACCTTAACGACTGTTCTGGTATGGAAATCAAGGTCATTTATTTTATGTTACAGTTTGGTAATAGATGCCACATTAAACTGAAGGCGAGTAAGAGTTTCAACTTTGAAAACACACATTACCAGAGAGAGACTAGGAATATTGTTTTTGCGGCTGGAGTACATCCTTTTAAATGATATACATAATGAGTTTATAATATGCATCTGGGCTACCTCCTCTCTACTTTGATGTCTTCCAAATGGCCCGGGTGTCATCAGCAAAACATGTAGGCACTTTCCCGCCTCATTGACTCCCAAATGTATTTTAAATATCATTCCTGGTAACGCAATTATTTAAAACGCTGAACTAAACACTTACTAATGGGGAAAAAGACAGCCACTTCGATAAATTCATTTCTCAAATGGTGGGCATTCATGTTTCGTGTCTTTTTTTTTTTTCCCCTCTGTGAAGCGGAGGCAACTCTGATGGCAACAAAAAAACATCAGCAGCAGCTAGTAACACCCCCTGCCCTCACAGCCCCCCGTGGACATATTAAATCTTTGGTTTCCTCACATTACCCACCAGTAGCTGTCTCTCTAAGGTTTTCTGCATTGTGGTCAACCACCTTCCTGTCCCGAGGCGCTGCGAGGCTGGACATCAGCAACAGCCCTGATGAGAGCGAAGCACTTCATTTATGCAATCATAGGCAATTAGTTCCCTCTGATTATGTGGCTCTTAATGCTATTTTGAGTACTGTGGCACACAGTAATACAGAAAGAGATTAAACTATAGCCCTCCCTCTGCACTGAGCAGTCATTTAATATACTGAGAACATAATGAAATGTACACAGTAATTACAGTAATATTAAATGCTAATGGGTTTGCAATTGGATCTGCTGTTAGTTTAAGACGGAGTCAGAGCACCCAAAGACGGTCTAAGTTTGGAGAAAAGCGTCACCGTGGCATCGGAGCACTCCGCTATCCGTCAGGTGTTTCTTATTTTAATGATTTATGTGTCATTTAATGTGATTTCTATTAGGAGGAGCCAGATTATGTTTGGATTTTGGGCAACTCAGCGAGAGCAATTAATGTGCAATTTACTCGATTCAGCTCAGGAGCTGAAAAGAAACGCGGTGTGAAGTTGGCACTCGGGCGGTGAGAGAACTGCTAGGTCACCATGGAAACATGATAAGAGAAAATGAGCGTGCCTAATTGGCTACTGACATTATCTAAAGAGAAGCTAGTTGCTGGATTTATGTCGCCTATTTGTCTACGAGGTCTGATTTACATGTAGGCTCATTCTAGTTTCCTTCGTGTCCTATTGTTGTCCATCCACACGTATTAGGGTCAGCAAACACAGTCTGCTTTGAATATTTGACACCATTAAAGCGCCTCTGATGACCAATCAACACGGCATTACTTTCTACATGTGGCTCGTAAGGGTTCACGACGGGGCTCGGAGAAGGTGCCCTGTTCGCAAATCTCCCTCAGAGCTCATCGCAATGCTCGGGATGTTGGTGAAGAGCCTAAATGAATTTATAGAGCCTTGAATTGAACAGTAGCTCCAAACTATTCAATGGAAGCATGATTACTTTTTCTGTACTCTTTCAGCACTGAGCCCACAACCTATAATGTATTGTATCGGTGTTTGCAGATTCCAATTGTCTCTCAATGCACTGATCACCACGCAAATAGCCCTCTGTTTCATCATGACAATTGAGAGGTTCATATTTCAACCTAATAGTCCTGTATAACTTTAACCATCTATCACAACCTCATTTCATTGCGGTTGCAGTTAATACGCGCTTCCCTGCCAAGTGGAACATTTTCTAATGATGCACTCTCACATGAAAACAAGGCAAGCCATCCCGGGCTCTGCATCACTCACTAATGCACCCATCCATAATGTGTTCATAGCAGTCTGCCTAAAGGAGACAGCGATGACTACCACGAGGCACGGGCATGAAAGGGGATATGGGGAAGGGTGCAAGATACAAAAGCCTAAATGGCCACGATAATCATGAACAAAGTCACTGCCATCAAAGACTGTATCACCCTCATAATAACATCTGTAGATTTCATATCATTACCAAGAATACTGGGAAACATTTGGAAATGGGTCTCTCAACAATAACAGTCAGCGGTGGGAGTCGCACTCAAGTGCATTATCACAGTGAGCCTGGCTTTGTAGGATGCTGGTAAGTGCAGTCAAATAGGTGTATGTAAAGCCTGATGTAAACACCATCCTAATTAGAGAGACCTTTATCAGTTCCTCCATTTTATGCAGATTGAACTGGTGCAAACGCTACTGTCATTATCCCGTAATCAAGTACTATTCAGCTGATGGTGTCGTCTTTTAAAATCCTGATTAAAATGCATAACAAGGGCACAATGTTGCATTATTTTCTCTGGGAGTTTTATAAATATGTCCATTTTTAAACGCTAACTGAATAATGGCTTCTGTGAACCTCGTCAGGGGTGAAAAGGATTACTTGAAAAAGCAGAAACGCTCTATTTAAAGAAAAAAAAAGTACACGAAACAGCAGGTACCTCACTTGTAATTGTTGTCTTTAAAGCGATATGATTACTTTAAAAAAAAACTTCCCTTCTTGTAGATCATACAAAGACTTTAACCGGACATATACATCATTTATTCATTTCCTGGTTTTAGTCCGACCTAGTTTATCTCTATCAGTGCTACCTCATCGATTTAACGTTCTCCTCACAAAGCCAATAAGGTCATGCATGCTGTTGACATTTTGCTTCTGGACTTCTACGGGACAGAAGATGTCACTTAGGTCGGCCATCATTCATTTGAAAGTCGCAACTTTACCAACTAGTTTTTATTTGATTGTTTTGTTTTAGGTCTGTACAGGTTCTCATCCAGCTCACAGTAATCCTAAGTGCTTTAGTCAAAGGAAACTAGATTTGGTTCTTGACAGGTTTCACATACGAGGCTTCCTGATGTGGCAGGATGAAGCCTAATTTCTGCTCCTAATGGAGAATGCTATTCAGCCTATCACCGCTTGAGGGCACTCCTTATAAGGGTGCGGTGGCCATCTTGGTGTCTCTCGCTCTTGGCTCTGAGACCGCCCACTTCCGGGTCGCCTTGCTCTTGCCTGTCAGGTACCGGCGGCGCTCCACGCAGCCGCATGTGTCACGGACCCCGTGCCGGCACGTTTGGCTCGCGGCTGCCTGTTCGGCCAGTGCAGTTTGGGAGTCTTCTGCTGTTGCCGCTACATAAGAGTGTGTCCCTCCTCCTTCAGGTGCTCACTGAACACAGCTGAACGAGGCTGTGACTGGAAGGTGTGGCTGAATAGTGGGACCGCTGCTGCTTTGCCGGGTTAGCGGCGCTCCGCCGCTTTGCCGCCGTTAGCATCGCTGTTAGCATCGCCGTTAGCATCGCCGTCTCTCTGCGGCTTGCTCTGGGTGGTGTATCTCTGCTGCTTTGCTCCGCTTGCATCTTTTACTCTGCTTCACTTTGCATGGCAGCATTCTTTGTTTTGCTTTAGTCATATTGTTTTTGGGTTATTTTGGTTTGTTATATTTTGTTTAAGTTTGCCTTGGTTAGCTTAGCTTAGCTTTTCCTTTGCTTGGCTTCGCTTCGTTTGGTTTGCTGTTGTTGTTTGTTACCTGTGTTGGGCTTAGTGTTTAGTTTGTTTGTGTGATTTTGTTTTGCTTTGTATTTTGAGTTTGTTTTCGTTATTTTTGCATGTGTTTGCAAAGATTATTATTGCTTGAGTTTATTTCTTTTGTTTTGCATGGTTTTCCTTAGTTTTCATTTGAATCTGCCTTGTGGGATTTTGATGATTTCAATTCTATATTTTAAATTCTGTCACTGTATTTTAACTATTGTACGAAAATAAAATCTATTTTTTATAATGTAGAACCACGTCTCCCCCCAGTGTGTTGTGAACCTGTGTGCTTTGCTGTGTGTGTGTGAACAAGGAGTAGGTCGGTTCCCTGGGTGAGAACCTTAAACCCAGGTGGCGTTGTCGGTCAACACTTTTCCCCTTAGTCCATCAGTTAGGCAATCTATTAGTAGCGCCCCCGCTCGCCACAATCTGGCGTTGTCGGCATGATTTACGCACTGACCAGAGACGTGGTTCTATTTTATTTTTCCTGTTTTGTC